AGAGCTCAGATACAGGGATCAGGACTCCAGGTGGGACACCTGTTGCTATTGCTTATAACGAAGCTCAGATGCACAGATCGGGACTTCAGATGGAATAGGTTATGTGGTTTGTGTTAACATTAGAGAGCAAGACTCCAGCATCTGAGGATTGTGTACTTTCCTAGAGTGAACCCCTGTTCTCCAGGTGGACCTCAATCCTGACTGATTACTGTCAGTCAAATAGTGAGCCACATTCTCCATGTCCAACTTGCACCTCAGTAATTATGCTCTAAACAAACTTCAGTGTTCTGATCCAGAATTCGAATGCTATCCTATGATTATCTCAGACAGATTCTGTCTGCAGAAACTCCATTTCAGTTTCTCAGTTTATCATTGCATATCTCTGTTTTAGTCTTTAAAGTGATACAATTAGCGTATCCTATCCCTTATTATATTACTCAGTGAGTGGAGACAGAGGACTGACCCTCCTCAACTACTGCTGGACACAGAGCACTGACCCTTTCCAGCTACTACTGGACACAGAGGACTGACCCTCCTAACTACTGCTGAACACAGAACACTGACCCTCCTCAACCACTGCTGGACACAGAGGACTGACCCTCCTAACTACTGCTGAACACAGAACACTGACCCTCCTCAACCACTGCTGGACACAGGAACTGTGGAGACAGGAGGCTCAGTGCCCTTCACCTCCTCTCAGAGTAGCTGTAGGGACAGGAGGCTCAGTGCCCTTCATCTCCTATTGGAGGAGCTGTGGAGATAGGAGGCTCAGTGCCCTTTACATCCTATTGGAGGAGCTTTGGAGACAGGAAGCTCAGTTCTCTTCAGTTCCTTGTCAGAGGAGCTGTGGAGACAGGAAGCTCAATGCCCTTCACCTCCTATTGGAGGAGCTGTGGAGACAGGAGGCTCAGTGCCCTTCACCTCCTCTCAGAGCAGCTGTAGAGACAGGAGGCTCAGTGCCCTTCACCTCCTCTCAGAGTAGCTGTAGAGACAGGAGGCTCAATGCCCTTCACCTCCTCTCAGAGTAGCTGTAGAGACAGGAGGCTCAGTGCCCTTCACCTCCTTTTGGAGGAGCTATGGAGACAGGAGGCTCAGGGTCATGCTAGCTGCCCCAGCACTCTGTTGTGAGAGGCTGTTTTGCCCAGACTGCCCCTGGTTCAGCTGGTGCAGACAGCGCTCGGAACAGAGCCCAGATTCCCGAGAGAATATCGTTCCTGCCCTCCAGTAGGAATCGACTGTTGTCGGATGACGCTGATGTGATCGAACTGTGGAGTCCCTGAATTTAGCGGCCGCCTGCTAGGGTTGTCTCAGACAGCCTCTCGTTGTTGCAGCTTGGAAAGCACCGACCGTGTCCTCTGCTT